ATACTTTATAGAATTTTTGGAAAAAAATCATGAAGATACTGCATGAATAATGCTTAACACAATTTCTGACACATAGTAAGCATCTCATGATCAGTATCTAGTAGAAGGAGTGGAACCCTAATTTAAGGAGGTGACGTGGAGATCGAGAAGGGTCAAATTTGAGAGATGCTGAAATTTAGTGACCAACCAAATGTACTCAGGGACAGACAGGAGATCTCCAAAGCTACGATTTCTGTCTGAGGTGATAGGATGGAGGTATACTGGCAAAGGAGCTAGAGGGAGGCAGGGGAGAGGGACTCCTTTATAAGAAATGAGTGGGAAAAGAGAACAAGACTGGAGTTAGACACGTTGAACTTGAAGCATCTGTTAAAATGTGCAGATGAGGCCTCAGAGAGGTGAGGGTCTGAGACATAGTGATAGTTGGAACCGTGGGAAGGAATAAGGTTTCTTAGATCAAATGCACAGATGAACACCACGAAGAGGCTGGCATTTTGTTTACCGGGCACACAAAAATGTTCTTATTAGCCTGTAGAGACTCTAGCATAAGAAGTACTAGGTTTTGGTGTCTGGCAAGTGGTGAAATAGAAAAAAATTCTGTAGGAGTTGGGACCAGAGCTCAGGATAGGAACCTCACCCCAGGGAAGATCTCTTGGAAATGTGAAGCAGAGGGAGGGTGTTCCCAGGCCTGATCTCAGCGTGCGTGCGGGCTCGTGCATTTTAGTGTTTGCTGCAGTTACGTAGTCTCTGAGGGGCCTCATGTGGAGGTAGGAATGGAGGTCCCATGAGAGGTGTTTTTTGAAGTTGGGTGGTTAGCCACGTCAGTTTCGGATTTGATTCAGTCATGAGTAAGGGATAGGAAACAGTCCCAAATCCTCTAGAGAAGGGGCTGGTATTGCGGCCCAGGCAAGCTGGCTGGAGCTCAGAGTAAGCGACAGTCCTAGCTGGACGCATGGGTTGCAAATCAGAAGGAAACAGTCCAAGATAAACACAGGTTAAGCGAAAGAGATGCTGCTTGGTAGGTGTAAGGAAGCAAAGCCCTTACCTGGAATTCAGGGCTTGGGCCGGAAGAGCAACTCCAGACCCCACCCTCCAGTGGGAATGGGGTTCCTAATAGGCAGGGCCAGGGGAGGCTCAAGAATTGGGTGGCACTCCTCCTGGAGCTCCAGCTTCACAGAGCTAACGCAGAGACAGGCATTTTCAGCGTTCTCTCTTAACTCTTCACTTTTATTTTCCTCAAAGGTCCAATACACTGGCATTTCCTTGAAGTTTCTAGTCCTGTCCTCTCCCGTTGTCCGGCTCCGTCCTTAGCTTATGGTCCCAAGGTCCCGTTACACCTGCACGTGTGCACACATGGTTACCCCCCATTTTCTGATTTCCAGGAGGTGCACACGTGTTTGTGCCCTGAGGAGCACACCCCGGGCATCGTCACTGTGCAACTCCTCATTACCCGTTCTAACATTCTCGTGCAGCCTTGCCCATCCTGCACTATACGCATTCAGCACCTCCCGTCTGGGCATCTGTGCTCACCAAGCTCCAGGTTCACAGCTTCACCAGAAGTCAGCAGACCGTTCTTGACGGCAGCAGCCACAGTACATTTACTTAGTGCCCGCTGTATATCATATTATCCTGAGTGCTTAGGTTAAATGTTCACGTAACCCTCGGTGAGCTCCATAAGGTAGTTACAATTTTTATGTACCGATGAGGAAATATTCACCAGTGAGGAGAGTGAAACTTGTGAGTTGAGAAATTTGCCTTCGGTCATGCAGCTACGAAGTGGTAAAGCTTGGAATCTACTTTAGTGCTAGCTCCCAATTCCATGCCTTTAACTCTCACATTATACAAAGGCAGACGTTTCTGACTCTCTATTCCTTATTTTTGGGAGCACGACTTTATATTGTATGTCATGGAACAAGCTGAGAACCAACGAACTTCCATTAATAATTAGGAGAGTCCAAGGGCACCCAGGTGGCTCGGTCACTTAGCTGGCTCTTGATTTCAACTCAGATCATATCTCCGGGTTGTGAGATCCAGCCCCACGTTGGGTTCCGTGCTGGGTGTGGAGCTTGTTTGAGATTCCCTCTCTCCCTCTGCCCCTTCCCGCTCCCTTTCTTAAATTGAGGGAGTCCAGTGGCTTGGTCAAGCAGCTAATCTCATTAACAGAGGACAGAGCTGGGAAGGAGGTTATTGTTAGTACTCCCCTAATGAGCAAAACCCCACACTTAACTGTCAAAAAAAGTCCCCCGGTGAAACAAAACAAACAGAAAACCCTACAACACTTTTATTTAGCACCTGCCTCCTTTGCTGGTTTTATTTATCCTACAAACACTAGGAAATGGGATTTTCCAGGTATAGCCTGAACAGGTAGCAGAGAAGAAAGGTGGTGTGGTCAAGTACAAAGCGTTGTACTGGGAACAATGTCTGTGATTGGCTCTCCAGCCTCAACCACGGCTAGCTGGTCTCTTCCCCTCTGTCCCTTTTCTGTTACCTGCAAAACTGGAGTGTGAATAAGGATTTGGAGAACAATGACAAAGTTAAGAACTAATGCAATAGAATTTAAGGCGAAACTGTAAAGAAATTTATTTTCCCAATCCAGCTCTGTGACTTAGGAAGCAGTGGAATGAACCACATCAGTATTTGGGGGCTGGTGGAAGGAAACAATGGAGCCTACAAATGGGGGTTCTTCAGTGAGCTTCCAGAGAGGAATGATTTGCCCCTTGATGGGGCTGATCTGCATATTCTGACTGTATTCAAACCTGTTGGTGGTGAATGTTCATGGAGATTGGGGAGCCTTGGTGTGGGAGGTGAGAGGAAAGGCAGGAAACAGGAAGGAGGATTCGTGAGTACTGGGCATGGTCACGGGGCTGCTCCAGGGTCTTCTCCCTGCGAGCTGTTTGTTTACAGCCCTGTGAGTAAGGATTATGAGGCTCCTAAAGGCCTCATGTCTACTGGATGGCCAGATGGGACTCAAAGCCCTATCTATGTGATTCCAGTGCTATTTTACTATATTGTGCTACCTCTGACGCATTTAACTGGTTTTCTCTACAAAATTCTAGAAATTTCCACAGTAATGACTATTACCATGTGCATGCATTCCTTCATTTATTCTAGGATACCTGGTAGGTTTAAAAACTAAGATTTGGTAAATCTCAAATACTCGCACTTCCTCATTCCGCAGAACACAGAAACTGTTTTCTCCCCAGAAGCATTAGAACATAGGAGACGTTCATAAATAAATGTATGTTTGAACCATAAGAGTGAGTGTGTTTGCAGGAGGTCATTTTGAACACTGGCGGTGATAAAGGATGGAAGGCACCCGAAGGAAACGAGTCCTTCCTTGTGTGTCTCAAGTCCACTGTAATTTTAGGTTGAAATGTTCTGTCTCAAGCTTCCTGAAGCTGACTTGGCAGGCTCCTAAATTTAATTCAGAACCTCTTTACTGTGTCTTTCTATCCATATTCCTTTTTTCTGCCTCTCATCATCATTCTCTTTCTGCTTCTAATGTCAGATCAAGCTAGAAACTCTTGACTCTCCCATCCAACTGAGAAAGTTAAGTTCTCTTTGCTTGGAATTTCTAGATCTCACCATTGAGTTAATAGAGAGCTTTTGCCTCTCAAACACTCCCCTGGTCTGCCATTCACTGAAATGTCCCTCTTTCTTGGACACCACGCCTCAGGTTGGATCTTTTCACCACTTAAACTTCTCATCTGCTTTCTAGCATTTTTTTCCTCACTTTTTTTTTCTTGATTACCGTTCAAAGCTTTTGAACTTAGTCTACTGCTTTTGATCGGAAAAGGCTTCATTTCTCTTAAAGCTTTCGTTTTCCCTTCATCTCTGTCCCCTTTGCTTGGTTATCAACTAGAAGGGAAGTCACTTCTCCTGAAGTCATACTTCCCAGCCTCGTGGTCTTTATTTATCAAATATTTGTTGAGTACTTACGGGCTTCACAAACTGGGACCTCGACATAAGACACGTTTCTTACCTGACAACTCTGTTAGGGGTGACAGGCATGAAAATAAATACTTGCAGAGTAATTATAAGAAATGTCTAAAAGAGGATGCTGAGGTTCTGATGGCACAAAGGAGGAAGTGAGTAATGAATTAAGGGTCAGAGAAGGCCTACCGAAAGCCTTTAACCTGGGTTTTGAAAGGTGGAAAAGAGTTTCCCAATGAAAGAAGTGACGAAAAAAGCATTCCAGAAACTGAGAGTATCACGTGCTAAAGACCTAGGGGTGTGAGCTAGCAAGTCTCACTTGGGGAACCTGTTACTTGTTTGGTTATTCTTGGTGCTCAAATAGAGATGCCACCAGAAATGAGGCTGAGGAGGTAAGAGGGATTCGATGATGGGGCACCTTCAGTGCCTTCCCAGGAACTTTGGGTTCTATCCTGAAGGCTATGGAGGCTGAGGGAAGGGTTTTAAGAAGCTGAGCCATAGCAGTCCGATTTAGAAAGATCATCTGAACTATATAGCAAGGATGGGCAACTGTAGGTGGGGATACCTGACAAGAGATTATGGTAATACAAGTAAGAAATGAAGAGGGCGCCAACAGAAGCAATGGCGGTGAGGTCAAAGAGGAAAGAAGATAGTAAAGATATTAAGAGATCAAGTGGAGGGGCATCTGGGTGGCGTCTGACTTTGGCTCAGGTCATGATCTCAAGGGACTGAGCTCCAGGTCAGGCTCCCTGTTCAGCAAGGAGTCGGCTTCTCCCTTTCCCTCTGCATCTCCCCCTGCTTGTGCTGATGCTGTCTTTTTCTCTCTCTCAAATAAATAAAAACTTAAAGAGAGAGAGAGATCAGGCAGATATGGCTTAGTGATTGCCTGGACATTGGGAGTGAAGGCAGGTGTCCAGACAACGCCACCCGATGGATACTGATGCCATTAACTGTGATGGAGAAGGCGGGAAGGGGCAGGTTAGGGAGGTGAGATGGAGAGGTGTGCGTGTGTGGCGTGAGGTGAGGTCCAGGATGTGGGTACCATTGGATATACTCATTCTGTCTTGCAGCCATGGCTGACGGCCTTCAAGTCACGGTGCTTGACAAGAAGAAGGTGGCCATGCTCTTTCAGCCCACCGTGCTCCGATGCCACTTCTCCACGTCCTCCCGACAGCCTGCCGTCGTGCAGTGGAAGTTCAAATCCTACTGCCAGGATCGCATGGGGGAGTCCTTGGGCATGTCCTCTCCCCGGGCCCAGTCTCTCAGCAAAAGAAACCTGGAATGGGACCCCTACTTGGATTGCTTAGACAGCAGGAGGACTGTCCGCGTGGTAGCTTCAAAACAGGGCTCGACCGTCACCCTGGGAGATTTCTACAGGGGCAGAGAGATCACAATCGTGCATGGTAATGACACCTCTGCTTTGAATCCCGGAATAAAAGGGAGATGAGTTCTGTTGTCCCAAACACAGGGGGATGTCAGCCTCTCCGCCTTGCAACCCCTCAAGATTTTGATTTTATGGGAAGTGGAAGCATCAAGAAGCCTAGCAGATGACTTAATGTGACAGCGAGGCGGGGAGGGGGAAGGGTGTAATATCTAGAACAGACACTGAGATGAGCTTTGGAAATGGTCTTTCTCAAACCTGACCTCTAATCTGAAGAGCTTGCTATCAGAACTGAATTGAAAGAGGTTCTCGTCAAAGAATGTTCTCAAATACACCTTGACATCAGCCTTTATGGCCCTTTCCCAAAGTCAGAGAGCAGACTTCCCTAAGAAGTTCCTCTGCTGGGAGAAGGGATGTATGTATACACCGTCCAGAGCCAGGTAGATGCCTCGGCCTGAGCCCCGTGCGGTTCTGTATCACTTCTACCCTTTCTTCTGCTCCCTAAAGTATTGGACTAGAAAAGGGCCTACGAGGCTGACCTGATCTATTTGATCATTTGAATTTCAAAGAACTCCTGTGAAGCCAGCTCATTTCCAGGAGTCCAGAGTAATTCTGGAATGACCTGGCTTTCAAGGACTTCTGCAGACCTGGTTAGTTGAAAGCAGCCTTCTATTCCCAAAACTGGACTAGAACTAGAACAGTTTCTGGGAACACCCTAGGCCTTTCACCTTAGGGATGCTAGTATTTGCTATCGGGTTTTTATCTGTTTGTTTATTTGTTCATTGGAAGTAAAGCAGACATCTTGTCAACCACCATTTAGGCAGCGAAGTAGAACACGGCAGACATTCCTTCTGGAACAGCCCCCTCTCACCCTCCATTGTCCAGTGCTTTCCTTTCAGGGAGACGTTTTAGGAACTGGACCTTCTTTTTATGGTAACAGATGCAGATCTTCAAATTGGAAAACTCATGTGGGGAGACAGCGGACTCTATTACTGTATCATCACCACCCCCGATGACCTGGAGGGCAAAAACGAGGACCTGGCCGAGCTGCTGGTGTTGGGTAAGTGAAAGCCATCGGCAGCTTGGCCGTCTTAGACCCCTTGCGCTGCTCCCTCCACTCACTGCTCCCCACGTGCCCCAGCAGCGGGCATACACCAGGCTTTATTTCTTGTGCGCAAACGGGCTTTAGAAACTCCTCATGAGCAATAGCCATATTTATTGCACCTGGTTTCTTGGAGGCCCTTTTTGGCACAGTCCTGATGTCTCTTCTGCTCTCTCAGGGTTGTTTCTCTCCCTCCTTTCCGCTTGTGTCCCCTTAACCCTGATTTCTCTCTGCTCTTAGGCTTTACTTCTCTTTTTGTGTGCTAAGTGTTGAGGAAAATGCCAGACGCCTTTGAAGCAGAGTAGAGATAACTGGGAGATAAGAATTCATTGCTGAGTGAGGAATCTCCCAAGATGTCAGGAATCTTTTTCCATTCAGTTACCTACATGTAAGACAGTCCCGAGGAAGGGTGGCTGTCAGCTGGAGGGTTTAACCATCAAACGTGCTTGATGGAAAGAACTATTGTTGGAGAGTCTGCTAGGGTTTAGTTGGAAGGCAAATGCCTTGAAACCTAAAAGCTTCTGAGTCATTCTCAAAGCAAATAGATCTAATCTTTATTAATTTCTTTGTAAAGGAAAATTCATTATTTTTGGCCACGTGTCCTCTTTTGCAGATTGGAGAAGTGTCAGTGGGAAATGACTTCTGTGTATGGAACTGAAAATTGAGCACATATTTCATGTTCTATAAAACGTTGGTTGTACAACAAAATTAGAATAAAATATACAGAAATTAAGAAAAGAATCTGCATTAGTTGTAGGAGAAAGGTAAATGCTTGAGGCCATTTTTTAGATGAAATGACTTTTTTTTTTTGTAGTTTCCAAGAAGCCAGGTGATAACAATTTGGAGGAATGTTTCTTTTAAAGGCAAATGAGGTTGAAGGTTACTTTTACCCTATGTGGGAAACTCGGGGCCCAGGGAGAAAGTGGAATTTGCTATTTAGGATTTTTAGTTTTACTCTATGATGACTGTGTGCCTTTAGCAAATCAAGTATTCTGCTGCCTTACTTTTATGGTTTATAAGATGTATTAAGGTAATTATTTATTAATAACTAACACTTTTATTAATAATAATTAACCTTTATTAGAGGGCTGACTTAATTCAAATACATATTCCTTGGGTCTCATATGTGAAGCATAGCTGCCATGATTTGTAAAAAATGGGAAGTAGGACAGACATACAAAAGGAGGCAAAAAAGTAAAAAGGCTTATACTGACATTGTGGAAGAATGCAGAGAAATCAGATTTGGGATCTGCAGTGACTCTGTAAATCAGAAGGGAATAAAAAGATAAATTTCTGCCCAATCACACAACTCTCATGGCCAAGTTTGAAGGAACAAGTGGCTCATTGAGCCTGCAATTAGCTAATTGTGGACACAATTATCTGGCCAGTGCAGACATTTGCAGAGAAGTAATTGCCTGTGCGGGGGAAAAGGATGCCAGGTAAAAACCACTTTAAATAATTTGTTCCCAATTCTGCAAATGTGGGAAAATGAATAGAGGGGAAGCCTTGTCTGCTGAGGATGTGCTGACATGCGGGAAGGGCATTCCCCTGGATCCAAACTTGTAGTCATTGGGGGAAGACACCATCCTTGGGGCAAAGAGAGGTGGGTGAAAGAAAGGCTCAGATGAAGACGGTCACCAATGATGGGAGAAGAGATGAAGAACAAAAACCACTGTCACTCTAAAAAGAATGGTAAAGGAAAATGGGGGGGGGGGCTGCAAATCAACTCATCACAGAAGAGGCATGTCTGTGAGATGAGGAGGTACATGCTAGCGTTCTTGGGGAGGAGAAACACATCACTCCGCTGTGTTCCACATTAATTAGAAATGTTCGGAGCATGATATATTTGCCATGTGAACTTTTTAGGGCAACACTAGTTGTGCTATTTATTTAAAGAAGTGAGTTTGAAATCAACGAGAATTTTTGGGACACAGGAAGGACTTTATTTACTTCCCAGATGCAAACTTCTGAGTCTTCTTTGTCTTGATACCCTTCGTAGAATGTTTCAAAGTATCGTCACAGTTTTTAAAATTCTAATTGTTTGGTTGTTATATCCTATAGGCCCAATGGTTAGGTATTCCTTTCATGTGAGGCCAAGAGAGCAGCCTGATGTCTGAGGTCAACCTCAAGGAGATGAAGACCTCAGGGGGCTCATAACTGAGTCAACAGTCTGCTAATTGCAACCTCCATGAGCCACTGCCTCAGTCATTGAATATTACATCAGGAATGGTTAGAGGGGCTGGGAAGGTTTGATCTAGTGAAGGAGGACTTGGGAAGTATCTCCAGTTGAAATTGTACAGAAGAGGGCCTAGAAACTTACTCTGCCTGTGTGGCTGTGTAGAACTAGAACCAGGAGTACAGGTTATAAGGGGCAGGAGTCCATCTCAAAATGAAGAAATAACTTAACAATTGGAGCCAACTGAAGATGGAATAAGCCTTCCCAGGAGTAGTGACTTCTTTGTCCCAGGAGGGCGGAAAAAAATCTTGGGAGTTGTTATAAATGAGACATTTCCATATAAGAAAAGGTGTTTAGCTTACTTCTGAGATCCATTTCAATTTCAGAATTTGGGGATTGAAAAGTTGAGGAACATAAGGGGTGTGACTACCTTGACAAACAAGAAAATGACCTCCCAGGACTTAAGTCCTCGTGACACAGATAGAAGGGGTTACAGGTTGGTTACAAGAATGTACAGGATGACATTGATTCACAAGGAAGCCAGAGAGAATAGACTATGGCCTTTTGCTGTAGGTCAGAGTTAAAAGGAATAATCCCACAAGAATGAAAAGAAACTGTTGATGGTGGCTGGAAGGAGCTGAGCATAGCTCTTCTTGAAGATGATCACGAAGTGGGGAGCAGAAAACTGGTTGGAATTTCAGCTGGCCAATTAGTAAGGAAAGGCGAGTTAAAGGGATAAATTAGAGAAGAAGTTAAGAATTTATTTTTTTTCCATCATAGAAAGGTGAAGACGAAATGTTAACAGAACAAGATGGTGAAGTATCTTATATGTCAGATTAAGAAATTTGGACTTTGTCCTGAAGACTATGGGGAGCCAGTACAGAAACACCAACAGAGGAATGAAGTGCGATCTCAGGATCAAAACACTACTTAGCTGCAGGGTAGACCATGCAAAAGAATGCAAGAACAGAGGCCTGGGCTGTGGGGCTGCTGCAGCAGCGTGGGTGAAAGCCTGTGAGATTCTGAACCGGACCAGTGGCTTGAGAAGCGACAACACAGAAACATTTCAGAGACGGAAGGGATGGATCTTGGTGACTAATGTAAAAAAAAAAAGAAATGAGAGAGAGGGATGAGTCAAAAGGACACCATGATTTCTAGCTAGCTGGGTAGCCAGCTGTTCCATCAACCAAGAGAGGATACAGGTTGGAAAGCAGGTTGGGGAAGCAGAATGACTTTGGTTCTTGACATGTTGAATATGGGAGGCGTGTGGGAACCCAAAGTAGGGATGTCCTGCTGACAACTGGAAATGGAGGTCTGGAACCCAGTGGAGAAGCAAGGATCAGACATAATAGATTTGAGAATCCTTAGTGGTACAGCCATGAAAAAATAGATGAGTCACCCAGGAAGTTTATATAAAGTGGAAAGGGCCAAGGGCAGAACCTGTCAGTCTTATATCCTGGCTTGCTTCATGGGAGTGGTTCCCCGTGGTACTGCAGCGGTACTTGTCTTGATTTCTCCCACAACACTGGAGGCTTCTCCATAGCACTGGACCACGTGCTCTTCAGAGTAAAGGACTAATGCTCGTTTGTCTTTACATCTGTAATGCCTGTTGAGTATAAAGAGGCCGGTGTGAGTGTTTTTTAAAAAATGATAAATAGATAGCATCTATAACTAATATTTTATGCCCCTTAAGTGTTGGCAAGTGCTAAGTATGTATTTGTTGACTTACAAAGGGTCAGTACCACAGATGTCTACAGTCTCAAGTGAGGTAACATGGTTTCATCTCACTGGGCTATAATTCTTTATCTGGCTCTTTCAATTATTACTGGTGGTAAGTCCATCCAGGACTGTGGTTGGAAGCAACAAAGTTGGACTCTGGCTAACTTCAGCAGGAAACTCAGTTGTTGGAAGGGTGTCATGACCGAAAGGAAGGCTGGACAATTGGTCTCTGAAGAGAATAGTATGCTAAGGTAATGCTTGTCAGCTTCTGTAAAAACATCCCCCAAATCTCAGTGACTTACTACATGTAGTAGAAATCTCTTACTTCCTCTCGTCCCAGTCAGATATGAGCTAGGAGGCTTACCTGGGTAGCTCCCTTCCAGGTGCTGGAGGAGGGGCTCTAAGCTTCTCCATTGTTTGGCTCCGCTGGCCCGCAGACATTTGCTCCCACCTGCTCAGAAAGAGAGAGTGAGAAACGTCATGTGGGACTTTTTAGGGACCAGGTCTGGCAGTGACATGGGTCACTTCTGCTGTTATTTTGTATTTCCCCGGGAAAAAAAAGTGAAGATGTTTTGATGAACACAGCACAGTCCTTGATGTGTCAGAGATCCTGTAGCGTCTATGTAGCAAGAATTAGTAAACAATGTCTTTAAGACTCCATATCCAGAAAAAATCAATTTAACTGTTTTTTCTGGGTTTTTTTTCTTCATTTTTCCACTCAAGTCAGTCTCAGGTGAGTGAGTCGAGTTGGCCCAGTTTGGACATGCGTCCGCTGCTTAGCCTTGGGAGATCAAGGACTCTTCGTGGCTAGTCCGAGATGTGGAGGAAAATCATCTCCCCAGAGTAAACTGGGGCACTCTTACCTAAAAAAAGGAAGAATGGATGTGAGAGGCAAAAAAAAAAAAAAAAAAAAAAAAAAGAAGAAGAAGAAGGAAAAGAAAAAGCAATTAATGTTCTCCAAAGGGATACCATTACTATGTCTGCTATTCATAAAGTACACTGATAATAAGTTGTAGTTCATAATTTTTTTTTCTGTAAGAACCATGTAAGGTAGGAGAGGAGG